GATACAGTATTACACTGGCCCATTCTGTTTATGTTTAGCACATAGATGATTTTTTTTTTTTTAAAGCGTGTCTTTCTGGGTGGAGTTTGCATGTTCTCTCAGTGCTTGCATGGGTTTTCTTCGGTTACTCCGGTTTCCTCCCACAGACCAAAAACATGCATGTTAGGCTGATTGGTAACTCTAAATTGTCTCGTGTGTGCGTTAGAGATTGAATGGTTGATTGTCTCGTTTGTCTCTATGTGTCCCTGACTGTGATGGACTTGTGACCTGTCCAGGGTGTACCCCGCCCCTTGCACAGTGATTGCTGGACATGGGCAACAGCGACCCACGTGACCCAAAATGGAAGAAGCGGGTAAAAGATAATGGATGGATGGATGGTTGTTTGTCTCGTTTGTCTCCTTGTGTCTCTGTGATGAACTTATGACATGTCCAGGGTGTGCCCCGCCTCTCGCACAGTAACTGTTGGATATGGGTAACAGTGACCTCCGTGACCCAAAAAGGAAAAAGCTAGTAAAGATAATAGATGGGCACATTTTGAACATAAAATTATGGCATGGGACAAATTCAAGCTCTGAGTTAAGTTTTTTTTTTTTTTTTTTTTTATTATTGTTGTCTTTGTTGGTTTAAAAATGAGTAGTGTTTCTGCACAGCTGAGTAAACTGCCAAAGCCACATCCTTAATGGTGTTTGAAATTGTTTGCTAAAAATGTCTTTCTATAAAAGCTGAATCTGCACAGCTTTGTGCGGTGATACTGCGTAGTATCGTCCGTTTTAGATTCTGCAGTTCAGAAATGTTCGATGTCAATAGAGATATCTATTCAAGTCATATTCATGATGCATAATAAATCATACGGGTTAGAACATGTCGACCGTTCTTTTCCACTCCTCTCCCACAACTGTCCCAGGTGGTGTAATGATTACTAAAAACAAACAGGCTTCGTGTGACAGTAAGTCAAAACGCTTTCACCTCGACAGGGTAACTTTGGGTAAGGCACTTTTGTTGTTGCTTTTTTGTTGTGTTCATTTGTTCATCTTTCTTTTATTCTATTATTACGTACTATAAAACACAGGAATGTGTGGCACTTATTGGCCTGGTACTGTTACTGTTTGAACCTTTCCACTATAGGTGCACATATCACAGGATAAATATTAGCCCAGCACCTGCGTAGTGTTGATTTGTTGGACTGAGTAAATGTTAGCTTAGCTTAGCAAACATTGCACTCTGCACAGTAAGTCGCCTGAGTTGCGTTATAGCATAGTCACTTTGTTTTGAAGTTAGTTTTCCTCAGAATTGTGTTTTTTATGCACTTTATTTTTTTGTCCTTCAGTAAAGACATTCTGCAACTGGAAACTTTTGTAACTAATTGCTATTGCCAAAAAAAAAAGTGTTTTAGGTTATTTTGGTCACAGTGATTATTGCAAAAGTCTGAAATTGTCACTGCTTTAATCTAAACTTTGCAAAACAATCGTATTATGTTCAATTATGAGTGGAAAGTAATTTAAGGCATGCATTCTAGCTTCTAGTTTTGTTAGTAACTCAGCTATTTATTTAACATTTTATTTGTTTAGCTAAACTCAACTCTACCAATGCCTCGCTGAAAAAGACTGCCGTGCCATTTTCCTTTGCGCTTTACAAAATTGTGATTATGCTTACTCAGATTTCCCATGCCATTTTTTTTAGTCCCAACTTTAATGTAAAAGGTGTGACCTATAACGTTTTTTATGTTCTGAGCTTGTGTACACTGATTAACTTGTTTTTGATTAATATTTAGAGGAAAATTTGAATGTAATACTGAAACATCATCCACCATTGCACAAAAGCATTTGCAAAGACTAAATGCACTTTGTGAAAGATGAAGGTTATTTTTTGTAACCAAGTCTGACCTAACATGATTTGACTCCATTACCAGTACCATTTTTTGACTCGTCAGGCTTTTTCTGCTCACAGTCAAGTAAACTGATGTGACTGACAGTGTATTCCCTGGGAATATGTGGCAGATATCTCCAGAAATGAAAGTAATTCCTGATTAGCCCTCTGTGAATTTGTTCTTTCTCAAAAATGGTTTCTAGTTGGACAGCTACCAGTACTTCCTGCCCTTACATTCAGCGTATCTTACTGGTATACTGCAATAATCTGGCACCAGTAAATAGCCCAAATTGCCTTTTGCAAGTCATGAGAAAAGTGATAAATTTGTGTCATTTTTCCCAGCTAGCACACATGCCACTGGTGTTTAAACTGTATTTGCTTAACAGACAAGCCCATTTAAATTACACTTTAAGCATGCCACACCCATGCCCAGTTTAGGCAGCGTTATAAGCTCGTATTCCAAGTCCTTGCATCAAGTCTTCCTCTACTGCAGCTGTAGGAATGAGTAGGGATTGTTTATCCTGTCTACATGTGTCCACATCTTGACCTGACTGAGCTGACCTGGCTTGTTGAGTGATTCTCTGTGCATGTCTGTCCCTTTACGACTTGGTGGCCATTGCGATATTGTGTAGTGCTAAAGCTTCAAGCTCTTTTCCATGCAGCTCACACCCCAGGGTTCAACACTGTACTACACATGCACGTATGCACTGCAGCAGCAGAGAGCTATTTATAGACTTGCCCTATAAAGACAAATGAAGGTCCAATTAAATTGACCTTTTTTTTTTTCTTTTGTCTTTACTGTTTATTGGAGCATCTTTAAATACAAAGCAATGAACAGGGGGGAGAAGGGATAAATTTAAAATACCGAAAGAAATAAAGCAGTTATGAGTCATTCAGACAAATTAGACAACAGAAAGAGGCAGGGAGTGGTGTGATAAAAATATGACTGTGCTTTTGTATTTTAAATATGCACTATAATCTATGTGTAGAGGGAGGGTACACTCAAACGGTTACAATTCCTGCGTCACCTCATAAAGTTTTAAATTACCGAGTTTTAGCCATTATTATCGGTAACTCATCATTGTTACTGTCACAAATAGTGACACTAATTAATAGTTTGATATTCTCCATTCATCCTAATGTTATTGCAGTGAAATTATGTGGGAGTCCAAAAAGGTACATCTGTTTCTGAAGACACTTTTATGAAAGAAAATTATTATATAAGCTTTCTTAGATGTTGTTCTTAAGGAACTGTAGAAAAAACTACGCTGTTGGCTGGGAGTCAGAGGGTTTTGTCAGTTGTTCAGACAGGTTAATTTATAATAGCAGTTACAACCTGATCTTGGGTGGTTTGCTATCAGCTCAGATTTGCTGTAATCAGCTCAGCTCCTGTTAAAACATGTGCAACGATCTGTCTTGAAACCGCTGTTACCCTCAAAAGTTAACAACATCCTATGAAGAGTTTGCAACTTGTCAATGTTTGGCAAGCTGAGTAGAAAATAAAAGACTATTTGAACACCTGCTACCTGTTTGTCTGCATGCAGTGCTTTGCTTTGGTCTTCTTTATGTGGACAGTTTGGCTTAAGTATATGCATCTAGTAATGGCTGTAAATGAACAAGAGAATCATGGATTTCAGATGGAACAAACACACCTACCCCCCTTGAACATAGAAGGATCTGTGGGGGAAGTGGTCTCCGGTTACAAGTACTGTACTTGGATGTACACCTGAATGACAACCTCAGCTGGAGCAACAACACCACCAGCCTGATCAAAAAAGCACATCAGAGACTCTACTTCCTCAGGCGGCTGAGGCAAGCTGGTCTGGGTCTGCACAGGTGTGCAGTGGAGAGCATCCTGTGCTCCAGCATCAACGTGTGGCACGGAGGCTGCCCAGCTGCAGAAAGAAAAGCTTTGCAGAGAGTGGTGAAGGCTGCACAGAAGTCTGTTGGAATCAGTCTCCCCACCGTCACAGACATCTACACCTCCAGATGCAGGAAGAGGGTCACCTGCATCATGAAGGACCCCACTCACCCAGCACACACACTTTTTGCCCCGCTCCCCTCAGGCAGGAGGTTGCGGAGCATTAAGTGCAGAACCGCTAGACTGAGGAACAGCTTCTACGCTGAAGATGTTAAACTCACAAATCCCTAATCAGGATAATCACTGTGGAAAAAAAGGGGGGAAGAAATCACTGTAATACCACTTGATTGTTGATATGTGCTGCTGACTATCCATGCTGCTGATTTATTTCATGCTGCTGTATTCATTCGTGCTCACCTGCTCACACAGACTCATGTTCGTGCTGCTGTTGTTCGGTGTATTGTTTTTGTACTTTTAAGTGTTTAGCGTATTCTTAGTTTACCATATTTATTAGTTCATATCTTAGATCTCATTACTGTTTTTCTTTTACAATTTATATTTTTGTTGGATGTAACGGGGACCCTGTGTGCACAATTTTGTTCCACCACATGTACCACATGCAACGCAAATGACAATAAAGAACCTTGACCTTGAGTAATAGCAACAAAGATTTAGATCCACAATTTTATCCCTTATGCACTTAGGGTAGCCACACATCTGTGTTTTTATGTGCTCAAACAGTGCAATCCATTAGGAAATGAGCTTTTTATTTATATTAATGGAATGACTAAAGGAGCTTTTTATTTTTCGAAGCAAAATATACAAAGAAAGAGTCATGGCCGTTGTGTCTGGAAGGTTTTGGACAGTGAAACTCTGTGGACAGACTAGCTGAATCCAGTTGAAGTCTTCCATTTGTCACATCGGCTAACAATGTGCAGTCGGAACGGCTTGTCACTGCCATGCGCTGTGATGTTATGTGGACACGTTCTTGTACAGTATGGCTTTGTTAATATTTGAGAAGAGTGAAAGGGTGAACATTCAGAAACAGTTACACCAAAAGAGGGAGTAAGTTTGATAGCACAGCGGCAAAGGGAGAAAAAACGAGGAGCTACAGAAAGTACGGTAAATGACTGTTGAGCTATTTGTTAATTCCTTTACATAAACAAGTTATGCATTTACGCTTGCAAGAAACGTTTATTTTTCTTCTATTTGCACTTAACTTTTTACATTTTGTTTATCTTATTTTCCTCCTTGTGTTTTTATTTCATCAAAGGATAAGCAAACTGTCAGGATGAAGGAGGAGAATTTATTCCATCGAAGGCTATCTCTTTGCCCTAGTGCCACCTCCCCACCAAAAATTGATCCTCGCACACTTACTCGGAACCTGTCTTATGGAGGAGGCAACGAGATCTACAACCTCAGTCCAGGTAGGAGGCTAAGACTGCAAAGCTGGCAAATGTGAAATTATTTATATTCCAGAGATACCTCCTAGAGGAATCCAGTGTCTACTGAAAATTTGACATTTTGTACTGTAAAATATTTGACCCTTTCAGATCAGCAAACTTTATTTGATGCTTATGTGCTGCTTTGATGGCTGCTGCGCTTTAACTGTTTGTCTGCAGGTTTTAATCACTGAGCACATTTGTATGTAACTGTGTTGTGGGTTCCCACCAGGCAGTGAGACAGACAGGAACGCTCTCTCCATGCTGAGTAATGAGTTTAGTCCTGCCCAGTCACCAGACAGCAAGGTAAGAACACAGTTCCTGGTTGGGCAGTTCCTCACCAGATCATAGTGGCTCCAAAGATGAGCTCACAGCAGTTCCTTTTTGCTTTCTGTGATGATTTCTCTTTATTGTTACTTATTTTGTAACTTGGAACTTGTAAAACAATTTGACTGATCTTAAAATATTTGAGCCCTTCATTTCAAAGGACATTAAGTAATCTTGAGTCATTTTTGATAGATGCAACTACGTACAAGGAAAAAGAAACCACACATTACTATTATGTCAGTTATCACAAACGAATGGATTTTTAAACTAGTGCTAGGCATACCACTTTAATATTTGAGCAAAGTCAAATTAAAGTTGCAAATTCTATGCCAAGGCCATGGTGGGAACTATGTCTGTACTACAACAACTGACCCATTTGGTCTCGCTGCTGCTTATTTTGTCTTCGACAATCTGTCTCCATTTTTACATGATATATTTTTAGGTATGGAAAAACAAATCTTGCAAATGATTACCTGGTAATGCCTTTTTGTCTTGTCCCCTGCCCACATGTTGCTTCACTTTGCTCAGTCTCACAGTATTGCTTTTTACAGTATGCGAAATATTGTCACGTGTGCAGCTGCATCTCTTGCTCTTTGCCCTGTCCGCCATCCCAAAGGTCCTTAATGATCTATTTAAAACAGAACAGCGTAACCCTGCATGTTTTCTTATACATGGGAATGTATTTGTATCTAAGATGTTTTTTAGTCAATCATCCTGGTTTGGTGCATTGGTGCACACGTGGCTAGTTAAATATCACTTTAAACATTTAAACAAATATCAACTTTTATGGGAATACATTTTTATTATCAGTACAGAAACTTTTTTTTTCAGCCATGTAGCCAAATGGGACCGTTTACAAGAAAATATTTTAAAAGCTTTAAAAAAAAATAAAAAAATCAAACTTCTGCAGAAGTTGTATTGAGCTTTTTTGTATGGCCTTCTTTTTATCCCTTTTCACTCCCAATTCTAGTCTGAGTCCAGGATGTTTAATGGTGTTGAGAAGGACTGCCCCTCCCCCACCGAGAAACTGGCTCGAAAGGAGTCTCTCAAGGTACACGTCACTTCCTTCTCTGTGAGACAGCTAAAAAACAAGTTTGACATTTTTTATGTTTATTTTATTCTTCCTAAAGTAGGTCAAGTATGGACAATATTGGAACATTGATGCCTTTGTTTGTTTAGGATTTATACCTTTTGTGTTTCAGTTCTCAGATGAACGCTGCAGCTAGTTTGACTCTGCTTCCATCTAGTGTTTGCTCATTTGTCTGACAGTAAGACTGATGACTCTCGTGGTTTTTTTTGCAGGTTCAAAAGCAGAATTATCGGCAGGAAAAGAAACGGGCAGCTAAAGAACTCTCCAGTGCACTTGAGGACCCCAGTGTTGTCATCATGTCCAACTGGCTCAAGGTTTTCAGATGTTTTCATATCACACAAAGCTGTTTTATTCACACGCAACATCACGTTTGCTGTAAAGTAAAGAGCATCAACTGTTGGTTCCACAGTTTTTTGTTGTTGTTGTTGTTTTTGTAACACCAGAATAAATGTGAAGTTTAGAATGTGTTTACATACTGCTATCTAAAAAAAGGTAACATCATAATCTTACATTTTCGTATTGCATCCCTATGATTTTTATAGATCCGTGGTTACTTAAAAGGTTGGACCAAGCTGTGGTGCGCCCTGAAACCTGGTGTACTTTTAATCTATAAGACTCCTAAAACAGATCACTGGGTGGGCACCATTCTTCTCAACGCATGCAAGCTTATTGAGAGACCCTCTAAGAAGGATGGCTTCTGCTTCAAGCTCTTCCACCCACTGGAGAAATCCATCTGGGCTGTAAAGGTCAGACAGATTTATTGGCTCACTGCTCACATTCTTTGAAATTCTCATTCTGAGACAAAGTAAAAATGAAAACATTACATATGTAAAATGTATGTAAGCATTTTGTTAATGGCAGTCTGTTGCAAAAACACAATTTGTTTTATTTTTTAACAAAAAGTGCTTTAACAGAACCCAGATAGTATTTTAGCACCAACAAGATGATTGCCCAAGTGCCTTTAGAGAATGTTTGTATACCTGGTGGTACAAAATAAATGCACATCATGAAGTGAGTTGCAGATTCTTGTGTTTAGGGTCCCAAAGGAGAAAATGTTGGTTCCATCACACAGCCTTTACCCAGCAACTACCTGATCTTCAGAGCAGCGTCAGAGTCTGATGGTGAGCTTTTCTTTGCTGTTGGTTTGCTTAGAGGTGTACATTTCATGTGTCAGTACTTTTATTACTGTCTAATCTCATCATTCATCTCTAAACCAGCCACTAGGGAGCGCAAACCAGTGTATCTCTTGTTCCGGTCTCAAGCCCGGGTAAATGGTGAGGGTTGTGTCAGGATGGGCATCCAGCGTAAAACGCTTTTTTGCCAAAACAAACATGCAAGTTCATCATACCAGATAGATCAAGGCCCAGCTTAATCATGACTGCCACAGGTACTTGTGTTACTGTTAGTCAGAGACCACGAGGAGAGAAATGCACCAGGAGACAGAGGGCGAAGAGGAAAGTTAAAAGTGTAGGACTGAGACTAGCAGCTCTAATCATAAGGACAATGACAGGTAAAGGTAGAGAGCTGGCTGACAAGATGCAGAGAAGGAAGGTCAATGTTTTATGTGTGCCAGAGACTTAAGTGGAAGGGCAGCAAGGCTTGCAGCATTGGAGCAGGGTTTAAACTATTTTACCATGGTGTGGATAGAAAGAAATGGAGTAGGGGTGGTCCTGAAGGAGGAGTTGGCAAAGAATGTAGTAGAGGTGTCAAAGGTTGGATGTGATGTGGAGGAGAAAGATACATTTTGGAAGGGTCTGGATGAAGTGATAGAGAGAGTATTCTCAGGGAGAGTGGTGATCTGATCTGACCTGATCAACTGAATGGGCATGTTGGTGGAGTACATGGCTCTAGTAAACACCTATTTCCAAAAGTGAGGGGAGCATAGGTTGACCTACAGTATGAGTGGTGCCAGAACTAAGACTACATTATGTGTAAGAAATGGAGGTTGAGGACTGTATAGTTGTGGCAATGGAGAATGTGGCTAGACAGCACTGGATGATGCAGTAGTAAGGCAGTAAAACAATAAAATTGCTTTTGGCAACCATAATGTTGAAAATGGCACGCGGCACCAGCAACGATGTGTATATTGGTAGAAGGACGTTAGAAATGTAGCTGCCAGGAAAAAGCCAGAGGAGATACATGGATGTAGTTAGAGAGGACATGGAGGTTGATGGAGTGAGGGCAGAGTGGCATGGAGGAGGATGACTTGCTGTGGTGTTCTCTGAAGTGGGAACAGCTGAAAGAATATTTGTTCCTCTCTAAAAACTTTTTTTCCTTAGGCCGTTGCTGGATGGATGCCCTGGAGCTGGCTCTGAGCTGTTCCAGTCTGTACAAGCTGACTGCCAAAGCTGGGAAAGAGGGCGATATCAGCATCTCTCCAGAGTCCCGACACATACTCCACCTGCTGCAGTCCTCCCCACTCACTGATGCAGAGCTTCAACAGTAAGTAATACACTTAAAGACCTGCAAAGTGGAAAACAGACAAGAAACACAACTTATTTTATAGGTGTTCCAATTCCTTTAGCTGTTCCCAACACACTAAATTACTACAAAAATTTGTACTATAAAATTGTTCATAACTTTATAGTGTGTCGGTTGCTTTACCACACACAATCACATACACTCACACGCTCAGGTGTGTCTTATCAAGAGGCTGATTAGACAGCATGATTGTTGCACAGGTGTGTGAGGTGGATGGATTATCTCAGCAAAGGGAAGTGCTCACTAATGCAGATTTACACAAATTTGTGAACAGTATTTGAGAGAATAAGGCCTACTGTGTACATCGAAAAAGTCTTAGATCTTTGAGTTCAGCTCATGAAAAATGAGAGCAAAAACGAAAGTGCTGCATTTATATTTTTGTTCTGTGGGAAACGTTCTGAAATTTTGGCTTAAACATTAAAAAAACAGAATACTACCGACTGTTGCCAAGTTCTTGTGCAAAATAAAATGTTTCCCCTCCACAATACTCCCAAGAATACTTTTTGTTGTAAATAAGGACTTTATTCGTAAAACTGAAAGTTTTAAATGTTTTCTACATTAGAAGTGTACATTCTGAGGCAGTTTGTTAGTTAACATGCTGACTGAGTCAGTGAGCAGTGATGAGCTACCTGGAAATGTGCTCCTAAGCAAGGCAGCTGGTTTCCTAAACGTGGACTGTTCAAATCAGTTGAAAGGGTTAAAAAAAACATAAGTATCCAGATATTAAGTGCTAGAAAACTAGAAAGTAACTCAAAAAAATGATTTTTGGTTTCATAGTTGGCTTTTTGAGAGAACTTATTCGCATGCATAAATTATGGTTAGTTGATACATCTCATGTGAATGTGTTTATATGAAGACATGTTTTATTTTGCAGCTCCTAATATTATTTCCTCAATGCTGTTTACATCCTGTTAGAATTCCCTCTGCTCCTCACACTTCCCCCTCCTCTTACCTTTTTTCATGGCCAGTTCCTCCCTCTGCCTGTCCTTCCCAGCTGTCCCGCCTCTCCCACTCCTGTCAGCCAATCACAGCGTCCTATTTGTTCACATGACTGACAGGGGAGCAGGAAGATGGAGTACACCACCCAAAAAGCAGCCATTGCAAGCTTGCATGCACACAGAAACACATCTTTGCACACACACAGAGAGAGACACACACTCTCGCACATTCAGGAAGCAGGTATAGCAGGGTCTGCACCATTTTGTCTGTTAGATGAGAATATTGAAATACACAAGAAAGAAGATAAAAACAGGTTGTATGTGTTTTGAGGTTTGCTGACGACAGCATTTTTAAGGAGTCTAAGAAGAGTTTGTGCTGTTTATTTTCAAGGTAAGGAAAGCAGCTTCTGTTCGAAGGCGTTTGACTCAACAGATAGCATGGTGGATTAGTTAATAATGCAGTGTGCTGGAATGTAGTTGCTCTGGTCTGTAAGGTCCACAGGGATTTTGAAATTTGAACTCTCTTCCATTGTTATAGGAGCATGATCCATTTCCTGGTTTTCTTGTCTACACAGTCTGTTTCTAATGAGTGGGGTTATGAAAGCAAGTAACACACTGGATTTTCAGTCAAATTGCCAGGATTTGTGAAATCTCTAACACTGAAAGAGCATCTGATAAAAATATGCATTGCTTTCTGTTTCACTCTCCTTATTTGCTGTGGGTCTTCTTGCCACCATTAGTGTACAGAGACCTGTAGTGTACTGTCTAACTTGTAAAACGGGTATAGGATTGTTCTCTAACGTTCTTCTCAATCTCAGCCCCTGTATCACTTTCCTCTTTGCTTGTTCTGCTTTCTTTTTTTATTGTGGCCATTTACAATAACGGTAGAAGTATTTTAGCATTCTTTTTATTTCTCAATGTGCTCTGGTTGTGTGCAGACCAATCTAAGCTCTGGGTTTAATACCAGGAACATTCCATAGTATAAAACAATATTTCAGTACTGGATGCAGTTTAATGAGTTGTTCTTAGGCTTTGCTTGTGTTTGTGCGCAGCTGTGTGTATTTATTGTGTAGTTCTAATCTTGAATGCTTTAGTACTTTCACAGTTTTTTAACTAAACGAGCTACATAAAGTGTCTTCACTTGTGTAAACCAGATACTACATTACAGAGCCAAGTTTTGCATTAATTTATAATTATTCTAAACCTTGAAATGTTATTGAGTCCAGACTATTTTACAGGTTAGGTTTATTTCTAATGGACAAGAGAACTTACATTTTTCATGATAAAAATCATTTTGATTTCTGCTATTTTTTTAATATACATGTATAAATGCAGAGTCTCTGTTTATGTTTCTCTTGTAAATTGTGACGCCTGAGGTTGAGATCATGATGTGAGGTGGGCATTTACAATTGTTTACACTGACAATATTAATTACCTCACTCATACTATCAAAGATATTCAGATTTTAGCAACACTCAGTAGTTCTTTTTTTTTAATTTTCAGATTCTACAAAATATTATTATATTGACATATTTTTCTAAATCAATCTGAAATACAACCTTCAATGAAGTCAGAGCCACCTCTAGTATATCTAATCTCACATTAAAATGTTAGTTTTAAAAAGTTGCAATTCAAATCTCAATAAAAAAAAGTTTCAAAAACTTTTGATGAAATCCTGTGATTGTCATCTGCAGATTATTTCAAGCATCATTTTAAAGAATATTTTGTACCAGTTTCAATGCAGCAGAATTAAACTGGTTGTTTGTCACTGCTGCTTAAACACGGTTGTTCTCACCTTTGTGTTCATTTGTCTGTTTTTATTAGGTTGCATGAGGCATCCCTGCTTGGCGATCCCCACATGGAGCATGACGCCTTCTCTGACAAATCAGAGCGAGAAACTCACGACGACTGGGACACAACAGCCAATGACAATGGTGGAAGGCTGACCGAGGAGAGCGACATAGAGCAGTTAGACGAGATGCCCCCCGCACCACAAGCCACTGCCTATGTGGAGCAGAGCGCAGAGGAGATGGCTGAGGTAAAAGGGAACAGATTTTCTTTGTGCTAAGTTTTATCCTCAGCATTTATATGAAAGTACTCCATTGTCCTCAAGTATGCAAATAAACCCAGTCATGCCCTCTGGCCTGTTCTTTGTCGGTATGTGAATTACCTCCACACTACTCTATCTTTCTTTATTTGATCCTGCCCTGCTTATCTGTTTTTAGGCTGGTGAAGCTTCTCAGGTCGAGACCGTATCAGACGAGAACAAGGGTCTGATCTGGGGTCTGCTGAAGCAGCTGCGACCGGGCATGGACTTGTCAAAAGTGGTTCTGCCAACGTTCATCCTGGAGCCCCGCTCCTTCCTAGACAAGCTGTCTGACTACTACTACCATGCAGATCTGCTCTCACAGTAACTTGATTTCATCTGTGTCGATGAAAGTATTTTGACATTTTAACTATTTCAGTTCTTTTTAAGCCTCTGATTGTTCTTATTTTTACCCCAGGGCTTCACTAGAAGAGAGCGCTTATGGTCGGATTAAGCAGGTGCTAAGATGGTACCTGTCTGGCTTCTACAAGAAGCCAAAAGTAAGATATGTTCTCTGTTTTCATTTGGCGTTATCTAATTGGCTTTATTATATGACAACAATAATTACAAGTCAACAACTATTCATGAATTTGGACAGTAATGTAAAATTAATGTTTGAGTTCAGTTCATTAATGTGCAATAATTTTATTGATGGCAAGAAACAAAACAAAAGCATTTGTCACATGACTGCTAAACCATGCTTTGTCCTGATACTGTCACATATTCTACTTATTGATTTTCTGCAAGTGAACATTTTCATTTCACATTATTATTGTTTGTATTTTTGTTGCTGTTTTGGCCTCACCGTCTTTAAAAATTACATGCAGCGGCTTCATACGCTGGCTGCATGACAGATGGCCCATTTGCTGTTGTAAAAGCATCAGCAGATGCTTTTTACTTGTTTCACTCGTTAAATTGATGTCCTCTGTGGCAGCAGCATCACTGAGGAGCAGCGCTCTGTGTGAGCCAGCAGAAAATGCCTGTAGATCATTTGGGACTTACTCAGCACTTTTTGTGCTGACTAGATATGGATGCTTTGCATAAATAGCTCCACGAACACTAAATTACTTCTCATTAAAAGGCCTACAAATCACAAGTTGAATACTTAAATTACAACATCTGCTGGACTGTGTGCCGTTACTGCTTCTGTTACATCCTATGCAATAGTCCAGATACGTAATAATAATCAGATTATTTGTCCATTGTGAAGAAATACGGTAATCTAGCTCACCTTTGACAGGATATAACACAAATCGTTTGTATCATTTGATGTTTGAATCAATATTGTTTGTGTTTCCAGGGGCTGAAAAAGCCATACAACCCAATCCTGGGGGAGACATTTCGCTGCTGCTGGCTTCATCCTCAGACTGACAGCTGCACCTTTTACATATCTGAGCAGGTTAAACCAGAATCAGAGCTTTAAAGCTGGACATGGTTCATGCATTGTGTGAAACACTGTACAATCTGTCAAATAAAGAGGCCTCACATTTGTGAAATAAACAAGTTCATGTTTATAAAGGCTGTATCTGACGCTGTCTCTCTTCCTGTCTTCTGCCAGGTGTCCCATCATCCACCCATCTCTGCGTTTTATGTCTGCAATAGAAAAGATGGATTTTGTATCAGTGGGAGCATCTTGGCCAAGTCTAAGTTCTATGGTACACATAAATTAGTACATACCCATAAGCCTATAAAATACATTATAATTATAATGTAATAGCAGGTTTGGTCCTAATTTTGACCCTGCTGTTTGTGTGTGTTAAGATAGATCCCTGCATTTTCTCCACAGTCACTGTAACTTTATTAGGAAAAATTGATTTTTGTGTCTTCTTGTAGGTAACTCTCTGTCAGCTATTTTGGACGGCAAAGCCAGGTTGTTGTTCCTGAGCAGGGATGAGGAGTATGTCATCACCATGCCCTACGCTCACTGCAAAGGTAAACGTCTACATGACAACTACTAATTAATCCAGCATTCTTTGTATTGAAACAAGTCCCTATAGTTTTTTTTTTTTTTCATACTGCAACATACATATATTTTTATTTGCTATCCATACACACTTTAGGTACTTTTAAATCAGTTAGCCAGTAAGAACACAGATTATGTTCTCACAGAGGATATTGTTGAAATCCTCCACCAATCTGAAAGCCAGTGATCTGATCCCTACCCCATCCATTTGTGTTATTGTTAAGACATAAACTCCCAGTTTCCCCTAAAAGCATGTACAGAATAAGAAACTCGATGTGAACAGGTGTGTGATTGGATTACTGAAAGATGTTCCAGCATCTGTAAAAATTGTGTGTGTGTGTGTGTGTGTGGGGGGGGGGGGGTCTTTAAAGCCATCCAATCTAATAATGATGCATGGATTAAACCGATGCTGCTTTCAACAAACAAAGGGCACCAGAGCCACAGTTTGACCCAATCAGAGCAGAGCAGGGCAGGTTGTGCTGTTTTGTTCACGGTGGGCATGCACAGAGTTCCCAACTTAGAGAGAGAGTTCAGGTGAGAGCAAAGATCAGTGTTTCCTGTTCTATTTTTCAAAGAGGACACCTCTCTACCCAAACAGAACCACTACCCCCATGACGGTGATGGCATGTAATAAATTATTAATATTAAACTTGTGTGTTTGCACGTAACAAATTCACTGCAGCCGGGGGAGATGCCAGAAATGATACGCCCCCACCCCGTCCTCCTGCACCGCGCCCCGACCTCACCGCGACTTTTGTATCTAACGTCTAATTTTGTATTAAATGTTCATGTCTGCGGAGCACCATCATCATCATCGTACAAACGTGCAGCCTGCGCACGTGACCGAACTCCTGGTCGGAGGAAGTGCACTCCGACACAGGAGCGCGCTCGGCCTGAGTTTTCTGATTTATTTCTTATGATTAAACAAGATTAGGCTGAAAGATGAATTATAACAGATTATAGCAGAGATGTGTGTCTCTGTTTCACTTTGATATTTTTTTCTACGTTAAACTAACAAAGTTCTGAGAGTCTGTTTCAGGTGTTTGTATTTTATCATAAATATCTGTAAATTTCTATTCTACATGGTGTTTCAACAAGATGTGGCTGCCTGGATGTTAAACTTGATTACATTAGAATCATACAGAGAGTAACTACTGTGTTAAGAATGTGTGGTTTGGGGGTGGGGGGGACTTGGGTAACCCCAAGGTGTAGAAAATATTTCAGTCAGAATATTTTCTTCTGCTTTAATCCCTGATTATGTTTTAGTTGAAATACGTTTACATTTCCTCTCAGACCTAAATGACTCTGGCTGTTTTGACCGTAACATGCAAATCGTGCTCCCATGTTTCCAAAGAAACGTGCGTGTCCTGCTCAGCAGTGTGCTGGCTTCCTGTTTTACAGCCATCTGGTGTAGTCAATCTGTCTGAGCTCCTGGAGGCTCATTTTGCCTTCATCTGTAACCTGGCTGATGGCCAGAAATGGAGATAGAGGATGGATGCAATAGAGTTAGATCAGGTTTCTTTTTATTCTACAAGTTTACCAACTCATGTTTGAACTTTTATATTTTTATTCTGGTGAAGGGCTTAGTTAGTTAGTGGGCAGATGATAGTTGTATAATAAAGCAGGAATAGTTTGGATTTATTTGTTGCCTTTGACCAGGAGTATTTAAAGCTAAATATTTGACCTGCTGATGCTTTATCTCCTGTAGGCATCTTGTATGGCACCATGACGTTGGAAATGGGAGGGAAAATTACTATTGAATGTGAGAAAACTAAATGTTTTGCTGAGCTGGAGTTCAAACTGAAGGTATGATTGTTTTGATTTGTATGTGTCTGACAGTCATCGTTCACTAATTCCAAGGCAGCAGTTGTTTATCTAAGGTGTAATTGTCTGATTCTGTGCACTCAGCCTTTCCTCGGAGGCTCCGGTTCTGTAAACCAGGTCAGCGGGAAGATCTTTGTGGAAGAGGAGCTCATGGCCACTGTAGATGGACACTGGGTAAGCACTCCATGCTTTACCTCTCAGTTCTGTTTTGAGTGGTGTTTTTGTTCTTGTTGCTGTTTCAGTGTCACAGCTGTATTCAGTATATTCTTACTGGTAATTAAAACAGAATTGGTAATTACAGACTGAGTGTTGGAAGACAAAGCAAGTATAAGATTTATTTCGAGGCTCTCACAGTGGGCTGGAGGGTTGAAACAAACTGGAAAATGTTTTGACCTAACTCAAAAGATTTTATCCAGAGCTTTTGTTCTTTCTTTCTTATTTCACGTTCATCTCATGTTCGTGCTACTGTTTGGCAAATTGCTTTTGTTTTTTATGCTATTAGTGTTTAGCATATTTTAGTTGATGTTTTTCTTGGTTCATATCTTAGATCTTATTACTGTTTTTCTTTTAAATGTTATTGTTGGATGTAACTGGGACCCTGTGTGCATAATTTTGTTCCACCTCATGTACCACATGTGGTGCCAATGACAATAAAGAAACTCTGACTCTGATTTTATGAACATTGGAACACTGATATGTCTGAGCTGATTTAATATAATGCAAATAAAAAATTAGATTTTTTTTTTTGGTTTGTTTTTGTCAAAATCAGGACAGCGAGGTGTTTATTCAGGAGAAGCGCTCAAGCCTGCAAGACACGTTATGGAACCCAACTCCAGACATTCGCAGCAGGCGGCTCAAGCGACAAGTGGTCCAGTTAGAGCAGCAGGGGGAGTTCGAGTCAGAACGGTAAACTTCATACATTCATGGAAAATGACTTTTCTCACTGCTAAATAACCAGTCAGCATCATTAGGTGCTGCTGATAGCAGTGTGAACTAATCAGTTTGTGCGTTTGTTCAATAATCAGTTTATTTTGTGGGATTTTTTTAATGTTCCCAACAGACTGTGGCAGCAGGTGACACATGCCATCATGGAGCGGGACCAAGTGCAGGCGACCCAGGAGAAGTTTGTGCTGGAGGAGGCTCAGAGGCGAGAGGCCAAAGAGAGGGGAGACAAACCCTGGATCCCTCAGCTTTTCCAGCTGGACCCCATCACCTCAGAGTGGACCTATAGGCACATGGAGTATGACCACACTAATACAAAACGACTAAATCACTGGAAATGACATGTTTCTGTATATTTTTACCTTGGTGTTTTACAAATACATATTTGCAGCACTCGGCCGTGGGACCCTGAGGTTTGTCTTGTTCAGTTTGAGAAGGACAGAGTGATTCAGACACACGAGAAGAGCTCGAGACAACCCAACGGGATCTCCTACAGCCACAGCTGGACCCGTCAGCACAAGGTGAAACAAAACTTCACTGTCAACACCAAGTTTTCACATCCTTCAAGTTCCACTTTTAATTAGGTTTCAGACTCATTGTTAAATCATCATTCCTCTGCTGTTTTTCTTTTTCATCGTCAATAGAGCAACTTTTAGATGGTTTTGTACCAAAAAAACATTTAGATTGATAAGAATTGTTCTAGAATTCTAGAGTTCTAGAATTGCACCACTCAAGGTGGCTGCATGTTGGAGCAGCTCTGTTACTTTCATTCTGAGATTTTGCTTTTGGAAACTTTAATTCCTGGTTTTCTGGATGTAAATCACATTTTTTGGATGATTGTTTCCTCTGGTATCAGATGCTGTGCAGCAGGAAGAATTTTTTCTGAGACTTTTTTGGTTTTGGACATTTGTTATGATGCGTAACCATAGCAACAAGGAGGGTTTTACAACAACAGCAGCTGATTAACATCTCAAAAGCTCAAATAATATCTCAACTACGGCCCCAACTCTCAAATGAGTTGAAAAGGATGTTATGTGGACGCATTCTCATCTACCTGCCAGCTGTGCTTGAGTGCCTGACCACTGAGATCCTGCAACTAGCAGGAAACACGGCTCATGACAGTAGAAGGACAGGATCGTCCCTCGGCACCTACAGTTGGCTGTCCACAGCTATGAGGAGCTCGGCAGACTGCTGGGAGGAGTGGTCATCGCTCTGGGAGGAGTTCTGCCCAGCATTCAGGTGGTCCTACAGCCCGGGGGAACCGAGAGGCCAGCAGAGTCTGGGTGGACGGATCGGACGACATCTGCAGCCAGTTTCTTAGGATCCACTGTGGGATGGACCTTTACAAGAGATCCTTCCTGCCTACAGCCATCAGCATCTATAACATCGCTTAATGAAATGAGGATAACGAGTTACTACAACAAATAATTTCCTTTTGGGATTAATAAAGTATTTTTGAATTGAATTGAAGAGAAACATATTTAAATGTAACTGAAAAGAAACTAAAAGAAAGAAAAATGTTTTCCTTTTTAATCAGAGTCCTAAATACTCCAAATAACTGAATACATGAGCCTATCTAACAAAGCTGAGTCAGGTCCTCTGGACAGATTCTTCTTTGTTGAAACGTTTTGTCTTTTATTCTGGACAGAAGACTGTCCCCGGACTGAAGAAGTCTTTTGGATAAAAGACAAAACGTTTCAACAAAGAAGAATCTGCCCAGAGGACCTGACTCAGTCTTGTGCAGTGATGCTTAAACATTCAAATTCCATCTTTATTTAGAAACAAGATTATTGTTTATCATCAGATTTCTGTCAGTTTTCATGGAGTTAAGTTTGAAACAGTGTTTCTTGTCTTTGCAGGCCAAAGTGAACGGGAAGCACCGGAAAGCGAGCAGCCAGCCGTCCACCTGCAGCCAGAACACCGAGAGCAGCAGCTCGACACCTGAACCCACACACGAGTCCTCAGACAATGAAGGTGAGGAGAGTTCTCAGACACAAGCAAAAAATATCAAAAAAATCTTCTGTTGCTCAACACGAGCATCATCAGCTTTAGATAAAAATTCGAAACGTGATAAAATGTCAAATGTGAGTGACCCCAGCCAATAGTTTGTACCACAAAATGTTTTACTTTAGTTTATTTTACTGACAGAATATAAACCTTTATGAAACGAATCTAATATTCAGGTTTTTGTTTTATTAAAATTAAAAGTTTAGCACAGATTTTGTGTTTTAACAGTTTGTACATAATTTTTGCCAGAAGTGCAACCAAAATCAGTCAAAACACACTAACAGGTTTTAGACATGCCCCGTTAATTATTTTTATTATTCCCTGAAGAATAAAATACTTTGTTTAGATTTGATGATAGAACGGTACAGAACAGTTTCCTCAAATTAGACTTATGTAAATACCCCTTTGAAATGCAGATGTAACTTAAAGGGCTTAAACAAACCAAGTAGATACATTTATTCATGACTAGGGTTGCACCATATTGGATTTTTGGCCGATATCCAATATGTCAATATGTTAAAACTTATTTGGCCTATAACTGATACCAATACCTATCATTTTTTTCCTAGACCTACTTACAGAGACTACATGCTGTAGAATTAAAATACTACATTGTTCTGCCTGGTCTTTGTCAATTTGGTCTCTCTTGTAAATGAGTCCTCGAGTCTCAATGGGATTTACCTGTCTAATTAAAGGTTGAATGAAAAAAAATGCAAATGACCAAAAGGTGGCTGAAAATGATGTAACACTTGTATTATGTTTAATGTCAAATTTATTCACGACATTTAATCTCTAACACAATGACGGCACTGGAACAGTGCAAACTGGTAAATTTTCACAAATCTAAACTCAACCTGTTCAAAAGCGACAAGTGAAAAGCGCATAAGTAGTAGTGCATTAATAGATATACTTGACAGTTTCTTAAAATAAAAAATTAACTTAAAACAGAAGCCTTTTATATCGGTGAGTTGTTTTGATGGAATGGCTGATGTCGGATATTTAACTTTATCGCTGATATCAGCCAATACTGATACCATGCTGATAATACTGTGCATCCCTAGTCATGACAAAATAAAACCAAACGTATGAAACGCAAAAACAGAACCAAAATAAATATAATTAAAGCTACAATGAAAACAGAAACTTAAATGTAAGAGTTTATGATAAGCAGTTTATGCAAGTAACTAAAACAAGTCTAATCAGTTAAACTCCCTCTAACATGTTAAAACTAACATTTTTATTGTAATAATTCCAATGGAACAGTTTTAAAAATGTAAACGTGCTTGTTTGAAAATTAATATTAGAAATAGCCACGAGGCATCCTAATTCTATGTTTTCTTCATGTGTTGTTTAAAGGACTAGATTTGATGTTTGGTAATAGAAGGGGATTTAAAAAAAATCTTTTGTCTGTTTTGTTGTCAGGTTTTTCCAACCAGTGTGCTCGCTGCAATAAAGAGAAGAAGGACTTTGCACTGATAGAGGCCTCCATCACATCTATACAGAAGACACAGCGAGATATTCAAAAGTAAAAAATAAGAGCAAATATGATTATCTGAACTCCTGCAGATGTTGTTTTTACTCTTTCCCTTCTTTTTCTGCAGGAACCTGGTGACTCTGAGTCGTCAGCTGTCTCATCAGAGGGAAACGGACGACGGCGTGTCATTAACGGGCCGTCACTGCCTCATCCTCTGCGTCCTACTCCTCTCCCAGCTCTTCCTCAACTACGTCTTCACCTGAGCCAGATCCTCTGGGGGAAGTTTCCCCTCCAGCACCGATCTGCACACTCTACTGAGCAAAAAGGGACCGAGGTGTCAGATCAGCGTTAGGAGGGTCTCTTTGTCCCTTTGTTTCTTGTACAAGCGGAGGAGCAGGGGCTTTAAAGCAATAAAACAGCCACAGCCTTCCTGTCTGTCATCTGCAGAGAGGAGCAGCTCCTCCTAGTGTAGCGAGACTAAAACAGCACTGGCACCCACGCACTTTGAACAGGAGAGGGAAACAAACAGCACGAGTAATAGGAGTCAAAACACACGATGGAGAATGATTAGAGCTTAAAAAAAGAGCAGAGGATATTTCACCATTCCTTAGTGTCTTTTTTAATTTTTCCCTGCAACACTGTTCACCTGTGAGCGTGCCTGTACGTGTGTTGTTTGTATTTACAGTAGGCCCTATGGGCACAAAGATCACGGCTCCGACTTCTTCCTCTTCCACTCCAGATTCTGGGCCTTAACGCTGAAGCCAAAAACAACTCCTATATCAGATACAGACATGAAGAAACAGTGCAATTGTTGAGTTTCGTCACTCGAATGTTCACTCGAATAACACTCTGTCTCGTCTTTTTAAAAATGATTTTACCAAAAACAGTATTTATAATCTGAAAGGACAACGAGTATTTGTTTACAGGAGAAACTTTGACACATTGAGAGAAAATAATGAATGAGGCGGGGCAGAGAGCCAAATAGTGTCTTTGTATTTGTGCCTGTACTGCTGTATGTGAGGGGATAATAAGTACTGATTCAGACCGGGAACAGTTTCTACAATCACACAAAGAAGGAACATAAAACAAATGGAAGTTTATAAAAAGAACTATATGTGAGCCTAAATGAAGAGAGATTTGTCAGCATCTTGGTGGACGCCACGTTCAAGTGACTGTCTAAGATGTAAACACTTAGTTAAAAAAAAAAAAAAAAAAATTCCTTTTAATCAGTTTGTATATATTTGTTTCAGAGAGATTTGAGAATGTATTTATTATGTGATTCACCTCGACTTTCCTGAACTCATGAAGCACGAAGGACCTGGGCTAATAATTCCTCTCCTGGGGTTTGTGTCTGTTAGCGTGACGGAGCACATGTATGAGTCATGATCGCTCCAACTCAAAGTCACGATCAGAGTTTTACTGGTTTCACAGTCTGATCGCCACTGAACCAGTGAACAGCACAAAAAGGAAGTCCGCTCTGTGAACTGTTTTTTTTTATACACCTTAATTTGTTGGTCTTTTGTTTTCTACGTGGCTGCCATGTTGTTGGGGGTTCTACATGCCAGAAACTTTTTATCATATGGAGCGAAACAAGAACTCATTGATGCCTGATGTTATTCATTCATACTTGTTGCATACTGCAGCACTACAGTAAAACGTTTCACCCCTTGGCATCGTCTGTGGCCCTCAATCATGTCTTAAATGTGGAAAAATGTTCCCACTAATGAATGGAGAGCAAGATTTTACACTGACACGTTCTGTAATGCTCCACTAGGGGGCGATATTTACCCAAACAGGTCGAACTGGGCTGGAAACAGCTCCATGACTGACTCCCATGCTGCTGTCAATAAAGTCCATGTTACATGACTATTAGTGGTAACTTTTTTTCAAGCACAGATATGTCCCAAATTATTTGTAGCTTGTTGTTTTTACTTTGGGAAGACTTGCCTTTATTGTCAGTGTACATGAAGTTTGGAGGACTACTGCCTAACATCACACTTGTAAACTTTGAATACTCCACATAAGCAATAAGTGGTTTTTAATGATATTTTTTATTATGTACAAGAAAAGTCAAATGATTTTCTAATCTACTTTATTCTGTTTGTCAGGAAAGCTGTCGGTTATATACATTACACTTTATACATATATACATTAATTAGATGTTAGGAAGCTATGCAGCTAACCTCCACGAGAGGAAATCTGACCTTAGATTGAGCAGAAACTTGAAAAATCAAACACCTGGCTGCATTTTAGAGCTTTCATTCAAAATCCAAGCGGACTCCAGGAAAGTCAAGAACTGATGCGGACTGAGAACACCAGTTTACAGCTGAGGTTTAATTAAACCTGGGTGAACAAGCCAAAGCTGAAAATAATCTGATGTAACAATATTCACTAAGGGAATGGAAATTAGGCCTCGCAGACGTCTTTGATTTTATGAAAACGGAGGAGGGAGCATTTAGCCATGCCATTTTCAAATGTTGAATTGTTAGAATATGTCCCAACTATTGAGAGTCTTAAGTGGATTGATGCTTTTGCAACACACACCAGTTCAAGGTCCAGTTAGTGCCACAGATTTAAGCTTTAGTTCACTGCCTCCAACGTACAGTTCTTGTTTTTCCTTTTCGTGAAAGCAGTTTTGTCAAACGGTTAACTTCTGACCAACATGACTGGCGGCACAACAGCTGATACTTTTCTTTAACTTATGGGAGAACTCCTTTGATGAGTGATTAAATAATGTCATTTCTGGACTATTGAGCGCACCTGAATATAAGCCGCGCCCGTTAAATTTAAAAAGACAATTTTAGTTTTACATAAATTGGCTGCACTTGTCTATAAGCCTCGGGTGTTCACGTTGTAACGAGATATTTACACAGTTTTTTTTTTTTTTACTTAATTAAATACATACCGGTAACACGCACAAATACAGTAATTTTTTTTTCTGAACAGTACATGTAACACGACTGATAAATTAAAAAAATTACAGTAGTCTACCAGGAAGTCATTGATCACTACACCCCCAAGAGAGACGTGTATTGGGCAGCTATGTGAGCGCCTGGGTGTGACGAAGCTAAATGTTTTTCTTAGCCCATCAAAAAAATAAAATCCATAAATTAGCTGCAGCATTGTATAAGCCGCTGTGTTCAAAGTGTGTGAAAAAAAGTAGCAGCTTATAATCCGGTAATTACGGTAGTTAAATGTGTGAATGAAGGAAACGCTGTCTGAAACTGAACTAGAGTGGAATGTGTCCACTTCAGAGACACGGCGAGAGTCTTTGATCGATGTCGTCGAAACTTCCTGCCAGTCAGACAAAACTAATTCTTGAAGCAAACTGTCCTGTTTGACAACAGCCATGTAATCATCCACAAGCTGTTAGCATTTTTACTTTGATGCAATAATACAGAATGTGGAATGTGTGTGTGTGCATGTGTGTGTGTGTGTTTTCACAGCGGCCTGATGTTGGCATCATCCAAACAAGACTCTCTGTAGTTACTGTTTTTACAGCCAAATATGTGAAACATCTCATAGTTCTCTTGCTGTTTCACTGAAACCTGCAAGAGTGAGAGGCTGAAACAGGAAGTGTCAAACGGGTAAAGAAGAGGTGCTGAAGTGATTTAAAGTTGATCTGAGAGTTTGACAACAGCTCGATCATCAGAGGAAGGTGTGGAATCATTTTGGTTTGTTCTAAAACGTCTGTAAATAAAGTTATTCCAGACATATAGTTCGGTTGGGTTTTGTTTTCTTTTCCAGGGGGGGCGGCTGTGGCTGAGTCGTCTTCCAATGCAAAAGTGGGGGGTTTGATTCCACCAGCAGCCACATGCCAAAGTGTCCCTGGGCAAGACACTGAACCCCTCATTGCCTCTGATGTGTGTCCCATCAGTGTATGAATGTGATAAAGCTCTGATTAGTCTTTGTATAAAAATAGTAGAGTGCTGTATGAATGTGTAAATGAGGGCACAGATTGTAGTGTAAAGCACTTTCAGTATCTTGATAAGATAGAAAGGAGCTATATAAGTACAGTCCATTTACTTTAAATATATATATATCTTCCAAATATTTTGTGATGCTTCCATTTAAACATGGCTGCTACCTCAGTTTCAAGAAATGTCAAAATCAAAACTCGTTTCAAGCTGAGGACCAGTTTTAGTTGCTATTTGTTGAAAAAAGCAAAAAACTTATGGTTTTCAGGTGCAGTGTGTGAAATTATATGAATATGGTTTACTTTGTTCCAAGACGTGTTGTAGAATTTACAACATATTGAATAAAGGGAGAAAATATCAAATTGAACGACATCATTTGCAGTTGTTTCTTCTGCGTTGCTCTTCTGATAGTTTTTTATTATTATTTAAAATTACTTAGTGATAAGTTTTATAACAGCCAATAAAATGAGCTAAAAAGAAAAAGAAAAAATGTCCAAATATGCAGTTACAATATTATTAATATTTTACTTTGAAATAAGAAGAAAATAATGGAAAACAACAAAACGATTGTTTTCCTGTACACACATGCACATTTTTGTTTCTTTGCAAATTCAACAAAGGTTTGATCAGTTCTTCGTTTCAAAATCAATGACTGCTGAAACTTTCTAACCTCGTTTATATATATTTTTATTACAAAGTTGCCTAACTACTGTGTAAATTTCAGTGTTTTTAAGCAAATCTGTCACAGATGGTCTGTTCTGTACGTTTAAACGATCATCTCCAGGCTGGATAAAATGGTGAGTGAGGCCAGATGTGCTGGGGTGTGTCCTGCAGGGTTCAGGCAGGCTGGATGTTTATGGCAAGCCCTTTTAACATAAAATCGGATTCACCACGCTTACATTCCAGATATCTGAAACTGAGTTTTGACTAGACGTATTGGTTATTTAAGATATCTTGAATTGCATTTTGACTAGTCAAAATACTCATTTAAGATATCTCTAATTACATTCTGACTAGTCATAATGACGTCAGATTTACCATTGAGTTGTATGGAGGCTTCAATTCAAGATATCTTAAACTGAATTTTGACTAGTCAAAAATACAGTTCTAGATATCTCTAAGTTAATTTTGACTAGTCATTATTTGCTTTCAAGATATCTCACTTTTAGTTCTGACTAGTCATAATTACAATTAAAGATATCTTAAATTACGTCATTATTCAAGATATCTTAAATGTATTTGTAGATATCAAAAATGAAGTTTTGACTAGTGCAAATTAAATTGTAGATATCTTGAAAGCAAATAACGACTAGGCAAAACTAACTTACAGATATCTAGAACTGTACTTATGACTAGTCAAAATTCCTTTTAAGATATCTCAAAATGAATTCAAGATATCTTGAATATTTTATCATGTAGACGGCTTTTCTATTCAAGATATCTTGAATTCACATTTTGACTAGTCAGAATGACATTCAAGATATCTTGAATTGTTATTCTGACTAGTCAAAACGTCACATATTTACGTAGCATTTTGGCGGAAAAATCATAAAGCATTGTAGCCTTTTTATTTTATAATCTGCTAAATCAGGTCAGTCCAACACAACGCTCGTATTTTTAACATGATTTTTAACGCGGCAGCTCGGATTATTTATTGTATCTGCAACAAGAAGACTTTTTTGCGACGTCTTTTTCGCGACAACCGGAAACCGACACTTCCTGCTTTGCGAGTTTTTGCACTAAGGAGAAATGTCTCTCTTTTCAACATCTTTGCTTAATTTGCCAACTTTTCTTTCACTGCTGAGGAGGAAATCGCAGCGGCGAATTCTCGAACTAATAAACGTGAAAGGATAAAAGTTTTTCCATGAAGAAAATCTCCACAGCTGTCAAGGTAAGAAAAGACGTAGCTTAGCGAGCTAACCGTTAGCTACAACATATGAAGCGCATAAACATCGTGATAAAGAAGCCTAATTTAGTGTGCTACATTATTTGGAGTGTTTGAGACAGACATCATATAACATTTTTTATTATATTTTTATGAGGTTCCATTAGTGCCAAACATATGTTTGTGTGTGTATGTAGCGTGCTGTGTGTAAGTTGATGTGTTAAGTGAATCCATCTATTATACAATCTATTACTTGTTTAAAGCTAAATATGTTATAACAAGTATTAATTTATTAATCTATATATATATATGTGTGTGTGTGTGTGTGTGTGTGTGTGTGTGTGTGCTAAAAACAGTTTTGTCCATTTTAGATCTCACTGTGTGTTGAAAAAATAAATGTTGGCTTATTTCTGCAGAAGTGCAGCTGGTAAAGGTTTTTGTAAC